AAAGGAAATTATACAAACACAAAATTAATATGTCTTTACAATGGACTATCATTTAAATTCATGTTTTAAAGGAATATTGAATGCCATGAAACTTATTGTTTAGACAATAAAGTGGGTTACTTTATATACAGTACACTATATACAGTACAATCCCATTTTAATAAAATACATGTAAACTATATATGCACACATTCCAAGAAAAAAAATTGGAAACGATATGTAGCAGGTCCTCAAATAACATCATTTTGTTCAATATCATTTCATAATAACATCGATGAGATGCCACAGGAGCTCAGCTCTTGTTTGTATCCATAGCCTGTGGTACAATCGTTTTTTATGCATCATTTCACTTTTAGACATCACGTCATAGAACCCATGGAAAATGTTAAGTGAGGACTTACTCTATGCCAAAATAAGATGAATTATAGGCAATCTTTATTCCTTCCTCGGTATTTTCTAAATTCTTAGGAAAAACGGAAGGGAAAAAATTGTTTTGTGAAATTCTTAGTGAAAAACGGAAGGGAAAAAATTCTTTTTCTAAAGATTCAGAGGCTCTCAAATTTACCCATTAGTCTGGCTTCACTGGGGAGCACATCCTTGAAGCCAAATATTTTCCCTCTGAAAACTGCAGCACTCTTCCGTGGGCGCCAACATGTGGCCTCCAGAGTGAAACATCACGTGACAGTATAGGAGGAAATCAGAAGACGTCTGCACAGCTCGGGCACGGACTGCCGATTAGAGCCAGATCAGGGACCCCCCTATCGCCCTTTGAGAGTTTCCCTGGAATTAAGAGAGTCACTAACCAGTGACTAGACAATGTTTCACTAACATTTGTCTTACTTCACAAATAAAGATTTAACCGCAGAAAGTTTCCCCCAGCCCCACAGACAATGCCTTGAGTGTCGTTTTTCCAGGTCTCCTGTGATCCTTTTCCTTTCCCCACCCGTCAGGGTTCTACCCCTCTGTTAACACCTTCCTAAACAGGCTTTTTATTGTTTTTTTTTTTAATTTCCCAGAAAGTCTTCTATGATCCACCTAATGCCTGTATGCTCTGAAGTCTTCTGGTATTGCAGGGATCCTGCATAACGGGACTCCTTTGTCCAGCACTGTGGTCAGTGCTGGTTACCTTTTCATCAGCATACACCTCCGTCCTATTCTACAGTAAGGGGAGCATCCCCTGTGTGAATGGGCTTTTGGAAAGTGTCAGCTCTGTCACCAGGACTAACTGGTGGTGCTGCTGTCCGAGGTTACAAAGCCAAGGAGAGAAGACAGTTCTTGGCCCCCAGCCCCAGGGCATCAGAGTTGTGACTCAGGAGACAGTGTGATTGGTTCCATTTTCCTGTTTGCGCTCCCACACGCCAATGGCGATAAGCAATATGACTTCCATAGGAGAAGGATATATTTGTGAGTAATAATCCATCTTTAATTCATAAAGCACACCCAGCCAATAATCCACAAAGCGCCAAAATAATCCTCACTTGGCTTCTGCTTCGGCATACCCATTCCAAGCTTTAGTTCACCCAGTTTCCAGACCTTTTGTCCTCTACCCAGTTTAAATAATATGCAAACGTATTCCCAAACAGCCTCCAACCAGATTATTACCAACAGACTGGGGAATGACGCACATGTAGGCCATCTACATAAGAGAAACAAGTCGAGCCAAAAGGGATCATTTGTATGGCTTAAATCATGGAGATGGGCTATATCCACGGGGCTGAATTCACAATTGCTGGCTTCAGCAATGTGGGCGGGTTTAATCTTTGAACTTCACGATCCCTCCACCCCGACACCCACCCCCACACCCCAATCACACACACACACACAGATGGCAGAGCCACCACACCCCATCCCCCACTTCTTTGGTGGTCTCCACTGGGACACAACCTCACTGGCATACTTAAGAGGACACCAGAGAGAATGCAGCCCCATGTATTTTTTATGAGAAATGAGACTCCGGACAAAGGACCTAGAGCAGAGGAAGCTGCCATCTTAGATCTACTGACTCCACAACAGAGCATGGTGAGAAAATAGCGTGTGGTGAATGTGAATCCACCCAGCCATTAATCAGAATTCTCCAGCGAGGGGATTTTCCCGAGGCCTAATCCAGGCTCGACAGGTGGGGCGCTCTTCAATACCTCTCCAACCCCTAAGCCCCACCAGCTTTTCATGACCACTATTTGTCCCTTTTGACAAAAAGGCCTGCGCCTGGAAAACTGCGCCTGAAGATACTTGGCGAGTATCTTCAGCTGCCCATGTCATCACTAATATAGTTGCTTTGGGGAAAACGCAGCTGCCCACTTCCCCATACCCAGGGCCCAAGTTCCCTCCACAACACCCAAGCCGAGGGGAGAGCTTGCCCTCTTTGATCAAATCTGCCACTTTTAAGAATAGAGAAGAGTCAGAAAAGGACTCATTATTACCATGAGCGTTTGCTGTGCCATTGTAAGTGAGTCGTATTCCCCCTGGGTGTGCTTCCTTGTTTGTGAGTTCAGAGGGCTGAAACTAGATGACCTCTGTGGTCCCACTGTGGGCTCCCTCGTAGGTCCACTTATCATAACCTGCTAAGTGCTCCCATATCATCCCAACTTCTTCCCACCCCACCACAGGTAGGGGTCAGTGCCCTGGGTCTCTCATTTTTACAATCAGTCTGGAGGTGAGACTAGTGCAGGTGAGACTTTAGAACTCACCAGACTTTGCAGCTGATGGGGAACTCAAATAACCGCCGAAATGCCATGCCTCAAGGCAGGTGAGGTAGTGTTATCCCCAAGGTGCAGACAGGAAAACTGTAATCCAGAAAGGCTGCATGACGTGCACAAGGCTCCCAGCTGTCCTAACAGGTGGTACACCAAGGGTACTCAGCTTCCTCACGATGATCTTCCCCAACACCACCACAATTGTTATGAAAAGACACTATTTCCGATGTGAGCCAAAGCTTTAAGATGAATTGCTAAATACAGAATCAATTATTTGCAGAAGCAAACCTTAGCTATAGCCCCTTAATATTTATATTATTGTTCATGATCAAGAGATGGCAGTAAGAGCTTTGATGTTAAACCCTTTGACAACTAGAAAGCTACAGATAAATGATGTTTTTACTACCTACAAACTATTGCATGACTCTGGAAGTCAGAAGCCATGTCAGGGGTATTCACAATTAATGACAAAGAAGTTCCACCCCAACAAACACAGTGCCTGGGGAGCAGCTCTCTGCTCAGTCAACCTACAAGGTAATCTCGACACATTTACATATGTGTTTATAGCTCTGCCAGTGTTTAATAAGAACCCGTGGAAGCTGAAGAACTGTTCTATTTATCTGTAACGCCATTGCTGTAAGTAGCAAAAAGTTTAATTTAATAACTCAAGTGGTTTTTTAAAGTTAAATTTCATCTCCCGTATGCGTGTATAAGAAGCTCTTTAAGGTTGAGATAATTCATTTGAATTATCTAAGCCAAAATGATCATATTTTCCTCACTAACGTACAATTTTCTAGAAGTGTGTTCACAGAGAAAAATAATATTCCCAACATGTACTAAAATTCACATTTAAGAATCCCCAAATTCACTTTAGGGGTGATTTTGCTCTTGTAAATGATCAGTCTCGACTCATTTAATCCTCCTACAAAATCCACACAAGCCACGGGAGAATCATTCCTTGGGATTTTAAAGTGTATTAAAACACACCGCGCAGATGAAAGCGGGGCTTGTTCTGAGTCCAGAGCATCTGAATACCAGCTCCTCTGCCCTGGAAGGAGAAGTGGTGGGTAGCGGGGTTCCCCCAGAGGAGGCAGCTCCAGTCCTTGCCCCCTGCCGCACTGGTCTGGAGGCAGAGAAGCGTCATGTGTCACTGGCAAGACACGGAGTCCCTGGCCAGGCCCTGTTATCCTGGCAGGGAGCTGACTGTTCCTTCCAACTGTCCCAAGACTGATCCCACTAGCCATTTAACCCTTGGAGCATCTCTTGCCTGACTTAGCCTCCAGATGGCATCCTGAATTACCCATCCAGTTATCATCCCAACCAGATCAACACCTCCGGGACCCTCTGTAACCTCAGGCAATGGGGGTCCACTGCTGCCTGAGTCTGAATATTTGCCAGAAAAACTGCCTTATCTTAAGCCATCTAGAATGTCAACCAAGGAGCAGGGAAAAGGAAGAACCATTCCCATAGGACACAAACTAGATAAGAATCTGACATTTTCCTTTGCAATGACTTGACATCCTTGCTTTCTCAAAGGAAAAAATCACTTTAACCAGCCCAGCAGCCCCTTCCTGCTACAACATGTTCCAGGTGCCCATTCGCTGACTATTTAAGCATGCCCTGACTCTAATGCACTTACAGGGCATTTATCTTCTTTTAATTCCTTCCACTGCCCGCAGGACTAACGATCCAGAGCAGTGTAATCCAGTAACAACACTACTGCTCTAAGCCACAGGCTGACTACCTCAGCAATTGTGGGCAAAGGACAGTATGGACAACTCAGTTTAGCAAAGAAACAACTCATTCTTTTTCAACATTTACCCACCCCCCACAAGAATAAGTAAATAAATAAGCAAGCAAACTCAGGGGGAAATAGCATCCTTGTTGCTAGGGGTTAATTAAAATGAAACAGCCAAAGGTCAGCAACAGAAGATAGAAAAGTCTCCATCATTTGAATAATCCATAATAGGTAGACATTCCACAAATGCATAGAAAGTGAAAGATTCAGCAATGCAGTGGCAATGCATGCCTGTTTCTGCAGCCCCACCACCCTTGAGCCAGTGGCATGCGCTCCCCGTTGGGGAAGAGGGAAGCCTTTGGTCTCTTCCAAACCATTCACTGACATGCAGAACCTCTGAACCTCCAAAGGCAAGAACAGTGGGCGAAGATATCTAGCAAGCATGCTCCCTCTGTTCCGAACATCAGTCATGCTAGTTCCCGCCTCCATCAATTACTCTTCTGTTGACCACCCACATTTAATTCAGCGTTAAAAACATGACAACAAGGTCTGAGATTTGAGGAATGTACCTGACTCTCTCTCCCCTCCAGGGGTGGTGGAATCTCATCAGCAAAACCAATCTTCCCTGGATCACCCATAAAGGCACTAACCTCATCCACGTTCTCAAAGGCGTTGATGACATCATATGGCAAACAGGACAGAAGGTCAATCACAAACCACGTCTTCAGGTAGTTCATGCGGATGAGTTTGGGGTCGGAAATCACCTCCCCAGCTGGTCCGACAAAGGTGGTGTGAAAATTCAGCACAATGTCCACCAAAAAGATGACGTCCACGATGCTGTCCACTACCAGCCAGGCCACATTGTTCTGCCTGGTTTTAAAGGAGACGTTGTAAGGGACCAAGATGGCTGTGTAGAAGGTCAAGATCAAGATGATCCAATCCCACGTGGTTTTAAAAACACAGTAATGTAAGATGATGTGAGGGGGGGTCTTTGGTGCCTCTTGCTTGTACTGGGGGAGGATGTCCGAGCCCAGCTGCAGGACCTGTACAGGAAAACATGGCCAAGAGAGAACTAAGTTAGGGGTTAACGGCAAGCATCTGTCACTGACAAATCATCATGATGCCCGAGATGGATCATTAGGTGCAAGAACAGGTACTGGAGAAGTATGGGAGAGGAGAGGTGAACATTATATTAAATCACAATAAAACAATCACATACTATGATGTGGCTTATTATGTACCAAGCACTATACTTCATATACATTTATTATCTCAATTCTAAATACAACTTCATTTTATTAGCCAGTTATTACTCTATGTGACAAGTAAGAAACTGAGGCTCAAGAGAATTAAGTAACTTAACAAATATTTATTGTTCTGTGCCAGCAACTTTTCTAGACACTGGACACACAGTCACGAAGGAAACAGCACGATTCCTGCTCTTGGGAAGCTCGGTCTAGTAGACAAATTAAGATAATTTCAAATTGTGTTAAGAGCTAAATAAGAAGTAGCATGAGACACACAGTGATTTGATAGAATGTGACTTCAGGATTAGGGGAGGGAGAGTGTTTGAACTAAAATCTGAATAACAACAAGGAACCAGCCATTCAAACTTGTATGGGAAAATTATCCTAGCCAGAGAGCATAACTGGCATAATGAATCCAGGGTAGGACAAGCTTGATATCTGCAGTGGAAGAAGGAAGTCCGGTGTGACAGAAGCACACTAAATGAGGGAAGAAAGGATGCTAAATGAGTCCAGAGGGGAAGCGGAAACCAAACCATGCGTGACCCAGGGGGCCTGGAGAGATGCTGGATCTGATTCTCAGTACGTCTGAGTGTAACTGGAGGGCTTTAAGCAAGGGAATAATTTGATGCATATTTATAAAAGATCACCCTGGCTGCTGCATAGGTAATGAATTGAGGCAGAGGATTAGAGGGTAGGACAGAATCCGGAAACCTATTATAACACCCTGAGAAGAAGATGAGGTGATGGAGAAAAGCAGTCCAATTTTGGATATATTTTTGAAGTAAACCAACTGAATTTGCTGATGGCTAAAAATGAAGAAAATAGAGCAATGACTGGCACCCACTACTTTAATCCAACCCCCCATCCCAGCAATGGTAATTGGCCCAGAGTAGGCCATACAGGACTATTTTTAAGTGAATAAATGAACTTCAAGGTCATGCAGCGAAGCAAAATGGAACCAGGATTCCAAATTAGGTCCTGCTGGATTAAAAACACATGCTGTTCCACATCAAAGTTACATTTCCCCAAACAACAGGTTTTTAATGAAGCAAATTCAGTGAAGGAAGAAGTTTAGAGAAGCCTGGTTCTAAAAGAGGATCACAAATGGGTTTCACTTCAACAGTCAAAGGCAAAACGCCATGTCTCAGAGACCAGGCCAAGCCGGAGGGGACCCCGGCCCGGCCCGGCCCAGCCCAGCCCAGCCCAGCCCAGCCCAGGCCAGCCCAGCCCAGGCCAGCCCAGCGGCTCTCCTGTGCCCACTTATAGACTCCTACACGTCTTTAGATGAAACTTCCTCCTGTGTCGTGGACACTCGTTTTTTTCCTCCTGAGGTTAAAGACCCATTAGTGAATACAAAATAATCTGAATGTCTCTGCTCCCACTATAGTTGGTGCCAGGCCTTAATAGGTGACCAAGCCCTGGCCGGTGTGGCTCAGCTGGTTGGAGTGTCATCTCACAGACTGAAGGGTCTCGGATTCCATTCTAGTCAGGGCGAATGCCTGGGCTGTGCGTTCATCCCCATAGCAGCACATGCAAGTGGCAACCGATGTCTGACATCGATGTTTCTCTCCCCTCTCTCCTTCCCTTCCTCTCTCTCTCAAATCAATAAGCATGTCCTCAGGTGAGGACTGAAAACCTGACAAAACAAAAAGCTAGAAATCCAGAGTATCCAGTGTGCATCTTTGGGTGTGGGGATTTTTTTTATCTCTCCCACCAATGCACAGAGCTCTTCTAGAATTTGGGATTTTAATTTCTCTCCCCATGAAAAGAACTTATACAAGAGTGATTAATGAAGCTTGGGCCCTGAGACCTCAGGCGGGAAAAGGGATTGACCTGTAAGAGTAAAGCAAATAAAATTAAATGAGTGGGACTTCCGCTTCTGGAAAGACAAGAGTAGACAAACTTCTCCTTAATCCTCCATTTAAGAACAACTAAAAGCTCTGGACATTGTATATAAAACAAATGTAACAAGACTCTGAAAGGTACAGGAAAGAGAGCAAACTAACTAGGAATGATACAGTGGTGAGTCCACCGGTTTTCTTTCTACCTCATATATTCTCAGACTTGGAGGTGCAGAAACCAACAACGTGGAAACACCAATAGATGCAGACAAAAAGAAAGTGCCAATAAAAGTTCACTCTAGCAAGTGGACTAGGAAAGGGGCAGTCTCAAAAGGTAGAAAACTTCTAGACAATAACCACTCTACTAGAGCCAAATGCCACACACAAAACATTGTGGCCTGACTCCCACCCTGGCCAGCAAAGGCTACTAGGAAGCCTAGATTTCCCCCTTCCTGAGGCTGTAATGAAGCCCCCAACCCTGTTCTCCTCCCCACCCAGGGCACTCACAGAGAAGGTCCAGTAGGGAGCCTGCACTTCTACCTCACCCAGTGGTCATGAGGTGTCCCTCCCCCTCCCCACAGTGAGATCAGAGGAGGGCTAGTGCAGAATCGTGATTTTCACCACTGCCCAGAAGTAAAAAGGCTGCCACCCCCCCAACCCAGGGAGGCATCAAGGTAAGCTTAGCAGGGAGCTGAAACTCTCACTCTCACCCAGCAGTGACAAGAAGGAAACCCCTGCAGGTATCAACAGAGGCTGAACTGGAAACCTGGACTTCTATCCCAACCCAGCAGAAATGAGGGAGTGCCTACCCTTTTCTCTGCCACATCTTTATCACAGGAAGCCACCTAAAACAAAAGGTTTAAATAAGATCCAGAGTCTCATACACAGTATCTCAAATACCCAGGTTTTGATTACAAATCACTCATTATACCAAGAACCAGGGAAATAACAAACTCATTGAAAAACAGACAATCAATAGATGCCAACACCAAGATGACAAAGATGTCAGAAATATATAACAAAGATTTCAACATAACTGTCATAAAAATGCTCGAATGAGCAATTATGAACACACTGGAAACCAGTGAAAAAACAGAATGTCTCAGCAAAGAAAGAGATGTAAAGATGAACCAAATGAAAATTTCAAAACCAAATAATGCAATAACTAAGTTTTAAAATTCAGTGGATAGGCTCAACACCTGAATGGAGAGGACAGAGGAAAGAATCAGTGAAGACAAAGCAATTGAAACTGTGCAACCGGAACAACAGAGAGAAAATGGCACAGTACATGAAGACGAGGGGGTTGAGTCATCAAGAAGACATAGTGTGTGCACCGAACAGAAGAGCTCCAAACATATGCAAAGCAAAAGCTAACAGATCGAAAAGAAGAAACAGACAAATTTGCACACTCTTCTATCAACCTTTGATAGAACAGCTGGACAGAAAATAGCCATTTAAGAACTCAACAACACCATCAACCAATAGGGTTTAACTGACATTTATGACATCCTCCACCCACCAAGAGCAGAATGCACATTCTTTTCAAGTGCATGTGGAACATTAGCTCTATACTAGTCCATAAAACAAACCTCAACAAAAAATTTTAAAGATCTTATTTATTTATTTTTAGAGAGGGGGAAGGGAGGGAGGAAGAGAGGGAGAGAAACATCAATATGTGGTTGCCTCTCGTGCACCCCCTACTGAGGACCTGGCATGCCGGGTCTGCCACAACCCAGGCACATACCCTGACTGGGAATCAAACTGGCGACCCTTTGGTTGGCAAGCTGGCACTCAGATCCACTGAGCCCCACCAGCCAGGGCCAGACCTCAACAAATTTAACAGAACTGAAACCACACAGAGTGTGCTTTCTGACTAAAACGGAGTCAAACTAGAAATCAGTAATAGAAAGGTGACAGGAAAATATCCAAACATTCAGAAGCTAAACAACACACTTTTAAATAATCCACAAGCCAAAGGAGAAGTGTCAAGGGAAATTTAAAAGTACATTGAAGTCAATGAAAATGAAAATGCCACATACCAAAATTTGTGGGATGCTGCAAACTGAAAGGAAAATGTATAGCATTAAATGTTTACCTAAGACAAGAGAAAAAGTCTTAAATCAATAAAATACACTCCCACCCCAAATCCTTACTTTTTAAAAAGGCAAGATACAAACAAAGCAAGGAGAAGGAAGGAAGTAAAGCTGGAAGCAGATATCAGTGACATAGAAAACATAAAAATAGAGAAAACTGGTGATCTTTGAAAAATCAAGAAAATAAAATAAAAATACAATTGACAAACATATAGGAAGACTGAAAAAGAAAAACAGAGACAGAGGAGAAACAAATTACCAATAGCAAGAATGAAACATAGGATGTAATTATAAACCCAGTAGATATCAAAAAGATAAAAGGGAACACCACGAACAGCACTATACACATAAAGTTGACTACTTAATGGAATGGTTCTTGAAAACCACAAACTACCATACTTCATAGCCTTATAAACTAGTAAGAAATTGGATTAGTAATTTTAAAACACCCCCAAAAGGTCTTTAGGTCCAGGTGCTATCAATGGATAATGGTACCAAAATTTAAAGAGGAATGAACAGCAATTCTACACAACTGCTTCCAGAAAATGGACAAAGAGGAACCACTTCTCAATTAATTTTGTGAGGTTAGTATTACCCTGATTCCAAAACCAGATAAAACCAGTACCAAAAAAAAAAAAAAAAAAGAAAACAACAATCTAATGTCTTTCATAAACAGGGAAGCAAATCCTTAACAAATAGTAGCAAATAAAGTTCAGAAATATATAAAAAGATGACCAAGGGAGGTATATTCCAAGGGTGCAGGCTGATTCAAAATTCAAAAATCAATGAATATAATTTGCCATATTAACAAGTTGAAGAAGGACAATCACAGGTCCATATCAACTGATGTAGAAAAAGCATT